TAAAATGTTTCTTACTCTCACTAAACGACTGTTTTAAAATGAAAATATCACTGACCCAAACGTCCATTTAATATTCACACTGTGGTTGATTTTAACCCGCAGCCAAAAAAGGTTGCCGACCCCTGTACTAGGGTCTTAAGAAATTTTCAGTTTTAGGTTAGTTGGTAAAAGCATGAAAAAAATTGACTCAACGGCATGATAAGTAGATACTACGTCATGTTAGCTTTATGTTAATAATAAACAACACTGTACGCTGCACTGCAAGTACTTTGGCGACCGGCACACAGAAACTTGCCGCACAGCCAACTGCTTTCCCGCGCGACACGGCCTAGTTAACACGATAGAAGGTGAACTGCCGGTAATATAGAACAGTGGCGCTCTTTTCAAAAAATGGCCTAATTTCCCGAGAAAGTCCGGTGCCTCATAGTCGGAACTGTCTCGTAACAGGCATCTTTTTCTTTACCCCACTGTTATACAAAACTTAGGTATAACCATATTTCCAAATTCTTCTTTTTTTTTGCCGCCATTATGTTCAATTATGTTCATTTTATGGAATAAATCAAATTAAAGTTATTTTTTTATATTTATAAATACGTATTTATTTTTTCTTACAAATGGAATCTTTGTCTTTTTTCACTATCGTTAAAAATTATTTACTTTCCTTTTTGCGACGTTAGTCGTAAGTTAATACGATCAGTACCTATGTACATACCTACTCGATGTTGGCAACCCTACATCTTTTCAATCGCATGCATTGTAAGTAGGTTTTGACTCCATCCATATTCGTCATACTGTCACAAACTAATGCCGACACAGACATAATTCGACTCCAAACGTTCACGCGTGGTTAGGAATGCAGGAGGGCGAATTACCCCGAATCGGGCGCAGGCGGACCACCCTGTAGCATTCCCCGGAAACGAGCCGCTAATTGGTTCGGCCTTTCGGCGCTCGCCGCTTTCCCGATTTTCAACACGAACGGTTATTTATAAACGCCAGAATTAATTATGTACAGACGGCTCTCTCGACCAAATAAAACTCGAGGTCGCCTTCCGCTCTTCCGTCTATAATTCGGTTAGGGAAGGCGCGGGGCGCCGTTCGAGCCGACTTTCATCAGATTTTATCGCCCTTCCGACCGGCAGAACCGAGAGCGAACCTCTCTGTTTTTTAAGCACCTAGAGAACGTAAACGTTTTTTTTTATTCGCCCGGCGAAGAGAAGAACGAAAATGAATCCGCTATAATTACGCTGACAACGAATCGACACGATGGAGGAGATTGCTTCTGAAAATACACGGAAACGTAAACTGATGAATTGACACCAACGTGTCTTCTGAAACGCGATGAATTTTGGAAATTCTACGCTGTGGAACGATCCGGTTGTTAATGTGGAAGTTATGGAACCCTCCGTTATGAAAATCGTTCAAGATGTATATCTAGTGCTTAATGCATAGTTAAAAACTCTGTAAGAGACAAATTGCCTAGCAGTGCAGTGCAGCAATTCGAAATTTGGTGTGATTCATGTAATTTTAATTTATTATTCTATTCTATTAATCATTCATATTACAATTGCGAAAGGGAGAAATAAAAGGGATATTTTATTTACTTATATTATTACAACATGGCATAAATCTATGTCAAACTTTTATTAGATATTAGGGTATCTGTGCCTCGCGGCAAGTTCTGGAAACATGCAACAAGGGTGTTTAGATTTTACTTTTTTTTTAGAATCAAACCAGAAAGTATTTACGTTTTGAAATTTTATATCTTTTTTTTAAGAAAAAGGGCCTCAGTGAAACTTGCAGTCCCGGGCTGAAACAACTTTGGACCAAGACAGAGTTGACAATCAATTCTAAAAGAAAGTAAGTACCTGTGTACTTTCCCTAAATTGATGTATTTTTCTCTAGATTTATTTAGTTGGGTTTATAAAATTAGTTTAAGAAATAACTGGAAATCTAAATTCTACGGCTTCAATAGTTTAATATGTGTTCAGTACAAATCAACATTGAATACATCTAAAAATAAATAAAAACTCATTTAGGTCTAAAACTTACATCTATACAGGGTGATTCAGTCATATAATGTCATTAATTTTAAGAGCAGATAGAGAAAAATGGGTATAATACGATGGCGTGATTAAAAAAAAATTAAATGCATATTTAAGCTGAAAAAAAATATTTTCAAATCATTATTTTCAGGCTGTTACTGACCGGCTGACGTCACAATATTATGCACGGCTACGATATGAACCTATGAACAACGCGCCCTAGATGCAACGTTGCCATATTTATATATTTTCACTAAAATAAAGAAAAAAAATAAACGGTTTTGCTCACGTCAGCCAATAATAATTTAAAATGCTATAAATTATTTTTTATTTATGCAATCAACATATTAAATTGTTATTGTTGCCCAGCAAGAACCTCGAGGTCTGAGCATGCCTTGCCAAAAATCAGTTTTTATTAGCATCATAATTTTAATATTTTAACAACATTTGCTGTAAGCCCGAAGGGGAAGGTTTTCAAACAATTCTACTAAAAATTAGTAACGCGGCCCATTCAGATGTTCAGGTAGAAAATGCGGCCCAATTAAACGATCGCCATTGACATTGACACCGAATCTCCTCTGAAAGCTATACCACCGACGAGTAGTGTGCGGGTAGTAGTGTGTTTCATCTGACCAAATGTGACTATTATGGCTGCAAAGAAATTAGCTGTTTCACTTTAAATAAGATTTAATATTGAAGTTACAAAACCCCAAAAGTTCAAATAATTTAAATTTCATTTCATAACCATTTCAATTTCGTTACAGAAATAATGTCATAAAAAACCAACACTCACTAGATAAATTATAAAGAGAGGATAAATTGTATGCAGTATTTAAATATTGACTGCAATTAGAAGAGAGACTTGTATATTCCATAAAAAAACAATGGGACGGAGACAAATAAACAACTCGGTACGTCGTGTTTCCGACCTAGGGTAACCTGTGGTTCAGTAACCTTTTAACCCAGTTTTAATTTGCACACGTGCACCATATAGTCCAGGAGCCAGATGTGCAAACAACTTATTCTTAAATATTTGACCTCTTGAATCCAAAGAAACTTGGTCGCAAAGCCTGAAAGTGGTCAGTTTAATTGTTATCAACAAATTAAATGTTTAAATGGCTGTAAAAAGTTTATTTTTATAGCTAGTACAATTTATTCGCTAATAGTTACGTTTTCTCATAACAAATATGTATTTTTTTGGAAATTAAAAAAAATTAACTTTAACCAAAGTTATTGCAAATTTAGTGCAAATTTCTTACATTTTCCGTCTCCGTGCGCACTAATTTTACCATATCTGGTTCTAAGTTCCATTTATTTATTAATTTATTTAATAATTAATGGCATCTTAGAAAGTTGTGAAATTTCAACGAAAATGCCGGTTTTAATTGTTTATAAGGTTTTTTTTATTATTCAACTTCGACGAAAAGCCAAAAAAGTTACCGGATATTGTTCTTTGCATTCTAACAATCAAGCAAGGCATGAAATCATTGTTAGGATGCGAGGAACAATAACCGGTAACTTTTTTGGCTTTTCATAAAAATTGAATAACAAAAAAAGTTTTATAAACCAATAAAGCCAACATTTTCGTTGAAATTCCACAACTTTCTAAGCTGCCATTAATTTTTAAATAAATTAATTAATCAATGGAACTTACCTATCTTGTAAAATAAAGTTTAAGTTTTAAAATGAGATGTGCGTCTCAATCCGTCCAATTGAACCAGAGATATGGTAAAATTGGTGCGCGCAGAGACGGAAAATGTAATATATTTGCACTAAATTTGCAATAACTTTGGTTAAAGTTAATCTTTTTTTAATTTTCAAAAAAATATATGTTTGTTGTGAGAAAACGTAATAATTAACAGATAAAAAATTGTACTAGCTATAAAAATAAACTTTTTACAGCCATTTAAACATTCAATTTGTTAACAACAATTAAACTGACCACTTTCAGGCTTTGCCACCAAGTTTTTTGGTTTCGAGAAGTCAAAATACTTAAAAATAAGTTATTTGCAGCCGTGGAATTCTGTTTGGCTACGGAAACCTATCTGGCCCCTAGCCCCTAGACTAATACGAGTGTAGTAGCAAAAAGTTGTCGGTCTTTTATCAAAGGAAAATCGTATCAACAAATTTAATTTAAAATCTAAAATACCGGCTGTTTTCGTAGTAGCTGTAGTCGCCCAGGTGCATCGAGTGTACGAAGTGGTCGGTTATATGTCAAATACTAACCTGGCGAGCTTGAACCTGAACTTGGCAACGCTGTTCCTTTAGCCGACAACTGTTCGTGACATTACGTTACAAAATTTTCCGAGCATCCGGGCATCGGCAGGGCAGCCCTCGTAGCGGGAGTTATGGGTTGATTTCCTTCATTTTTAAAAGTCGAGTAAAAAATTTTTTTTTCCGATTTTCTGTCTTTATTAAGCCTTCCGAATACGTGGTTAAAATTAATGACATTATGACTGAATCACCCTGTATTTTTGAATTTATAGGTAAATTTTTTCTGTAGGTACCAACGTTAAAACCATAAATGTTGTTATTATAAGACTTTAACAAATAAATACGAAATTTCCCTAGATTTCGCTTGAGTTTCCCTATTTCCCTAGAGGTTTGCTAGTTTCCTCAGAATAGGGAAATTTTCCTAGGCTTGACAACCTTGGATCAAGCTGTTTTGGCCGAAGTATCATTTTGTACACGAGATTATCCCATTCATTTACTTACACCTTGTATACGCGAAAATATCACTTTCAACCAAATCGTATCGCCTTCCGCGATGATTTTCGTAAATGTAGGGACCCCCGCGCCGCCACCTCGACCGCGCTACTGCACTAATTCAACCAGATTGCGTTGCCGGCTGAATCGACGATACCCATCCGCACGTGATGCTCAACTGTCTGGCCTGGGCTGCGCGAGTGTCGGCGAGACTCTGGGAACGCCGGCTTGTAGCCATTCGAAAGCAAGGTCGGCCGCGATCGACTCCACTGTGCGAGACGTTGCTTTGTTTACGCCGCATTTCGCTTGGAAAAAAGTGCCGATATTCCTTCCAAATGTGCGTGGATTCCCTCAACGAGCTGCTGGAGAAGCCCTTCAAGTGTTTCACCAAAGAGGAGCAGCTGGAGATTGTGCGCAAGGGCCGATTTACCGACCTGACGAACCTCTCGCATAGCGACAAGGGTAAGAAGCGTACGTTCTGGACGACGTGGTACCAGAAAGTAACATGGCTGTCAGGCAATACCGTCAACAAGAAGCTGTACTGTTGGAACTGTATCCTTTTCCCTTCGGGCAGTAACAGGACGTGGAACAAAATGGGCTTCGACGACCTGAGGAATCTCTCGCAAGCCACGAAAAAGCACGAGGAGAGTCGGGAGCATATCTACGCGACCGTCAAGTTGAGACTGTTGTGCAAAAAGGGCCAGAAAAAAACCGAGAGCGTGGAGGATCATGGGAAAAAAATAGAGGTGAAAAGAAACAGGGAATACTTGGAAAGGTTAATCGATATTGCTGGTACGTTAGCTCGTGTCGGAGTGCCGCTCAGAGGGGGGGAAGACGAGGAAGACTTGTACGGAAGTGAGTATGTTTGCCCGAGCCAGTGGCGTTACTAAATTATTACTGCTAGTAGAAGTGGGTGCAATAAATTGTAAATAAATTTTGTAACATCAATATTTTCATTTCTTTTTCGTACAAATATAACAGTCTATTAATAGTACATGCACAGAAAATTAAATGGACCATTTATCATAATAAAATGATGGAAAACCACAAGCAGTTATACACAAAATAATATCAAACCAAAATTTTTCCCTATATTTTATCATTCAACGTTCTATAGCGAGGGGCGATCCGCTAAGGAAAAAACGTACGAAGATTACAAAATTTCTGAAATCTCTTGTAATGTATCTGCAGATTTCAATATCGATTAAAAAAAAATTACAAATTTCATATAAATAATCAAGATTACAATATCTTCCAACCGATTACAAAACATTTCAGGAGATTTCAGAGTTATTTTAGTAGATTTCAATGATTATTTAAGATTTCAATAGGATTATTCGAAATTAAAAGAAGATTTCAAAATTTCTTAATAATATTTCAAGGAATACGGGAAGATTACAATAAGTTTTGAATGTCCATTTGAACAAAAATAATTGAATTAACTTCAACTGTCATTCATTTCATTCATTAACAGTAGTGCTTTGATTAAGAATTTCCAGTATCATTTTTACGCAAAAATTGTAACATTCTGATTAAGTTTTTGTTCGAATGAACGTTAAAAACTTTTTGTCATGACAAAAATGATAACGCCATTTTGAAAGTAGGTAAGTATATATTTTTATTGAAAGATAAAAATATAATAATCCAATAAACTAATAAAAATAAAAAAAAAAAAGTAACATAAAATAAACATTTTCCCAAAAAATAAATAATAAGAAATATTTTAAGCTTTTATTAACACTTGTATTTAATACTTTACCTGTATACAGTGTATTTAAAAAAGACGCGGCAATATTTAAGGGGGTGATTGCCCAGATCATTTTATAAAAAAAAGTTCCTATAAACATACGTCCGCAAACGCTTCGTTACCGATCTACAGAATGTTGAAATTTCATTAAAAAAACAGTAAAAATTAAATTTCTCCAAAACCTCTTGATATTATAATGAAATTTTAGGCCTGTCAATAGCTATGGCAGACGCGTACTTTGCAATACAAAACGATTTTTTAGTCTTACCAGTGACTAGCTATTTTTAATGAAAAAAATAGGACCCCGCTGGTTTTTCTAAAAATATAATTTTTTAATTCCTTGTTCAATTATGAAGAAGAAAGCTTTCCTCAGATTATACGCACCGTACGTCACACCGTTATTGAGTAAAAAAATAAAAAACATTTTATTGCGCACCTAAACCCAATGTTGTTTTAATTGAGAAATTTAAATTATTGAACAAAGAAATTCAAATTATCAAATTTGATTGATTTTTGAAATGTGGTACATACTGTTGTTTGTAGTAGGTAATAATAAGGGGCTGCGTTTTAGAGAAATTTAATTTTTACTGTTTTTTAATGAAATTTCACATTCTGTAGATCGGTAACGAAGCGTTTGCGGACCTATGTTTATAGGACTTTTTTTATAAACTGACCTGAGCAATCACTCCCTTAAATATTGCCGCGTCTTTTTTAAACACACTGTATACAAGTAAAGTATTAAATGCAAGTATTAATAAAAGCTTAATATATTTTTTATTTATTAGTTTTTGGGAAAATACTTACCTACTTTCAAAATAGCATTATCATTTTTGTCATGACAAAATGTTTTTAACGTTCATTCGAACAAAAAACTTAATCAGAATGTTACAATTTTTGCCCAAAAAATGCCTGATACTGGAAATTCTTAATCAAAGTACTACTGTTAATGAATGAAATGAATGACATTTGAAGTTAATTCAATTATTTTTGTTCAAATGGACATTCAAAACTTATTGTAATCTTCCCGTATTCCTTGAAACCTTATTAAGAAATTTTGAAATATTCTTTTAATTTCTAATAATCCTATTGAAATCTTAAGTAATCATTGAAATCTACTAAAATAACTCTGAAATCTCCTGAAATGTGTTGTAATCTTGATTATTTATATGAAATTTGTAATATTTTTTGAATTGATATTGAAATCTGCAGATACATTACAAGAGATTTCAGAAATTTTGTAATCTTCGTCTGTTTTTTCCTTGGCGGATTGCCCTTCGGAACACACCAATCGCACCATATAGGTTTCTGTCGAGGTTTCTGTGGCATTCTTTGGAAAATGAGGTAGGGGGGGGGGGGTTGTATAACGACTACATCGACGAAATTCATTAGCTGATTACATAGATTACAGCGAGGATTACAGATAAGATTACGTAGATTACAGATAGATTACATAGATTACAGATAAGATTACGTAGATTACATAAAGATTCCAGGGCAAACGCACGAAGATTACATCAGCGGATCGCCCCTCGTTCTATAGTTTATTTAAAATTAATTAGACCCTGTCATTTAAAAAAATATGTTTTTTTCTACCTTGTGCAAAATCAAATTATTGTGACTTCTGAATAAAGACGAGTCAAGTAATTTTTCTTTTTTTTGTGTGTAAATTATGTTTATCCTGCATTTGTTTTTCATTGATATTTTCATTGTGTGCAAGTACTTACACAAATTTAAGTAAAAACAATATCCAAAAAAAATTATGAGGTATTGCATTCGTAATTGATCTCATTCTAAGAAGAAACTATAAGCACGACTAATAATATGATAATTAACATCCTATTTTGTATGTTTTATGATATGTTTTATATGGTATTAAATCGTTAGCCTTTCACTAAAAAAAAAAATATAGCAATTCATTTTCATAAAAATCACTGTAATTTTACTTCTTTAACTCCCTGTTTTAGCAGGAGCATCCACTATACTTCATCGACATTACCCTATTCCTTCTTTTTATGATATTTTAAAAAAATATATTTTATACGCTCTTATTAGAACTTTGTAATTTTCCACCTCCATATTAATCCGAAAAACAAAAATTAGAGGAATCTTTCACATGACTTTCACTTTATCTTCCCACAATCTCTAAGACTATGCTCATAGGCGCCCACTAAAATTTTTTCGGGGAATAATAAGAAATATTAAAACATTTTTGTTTTAAGGTATGGTACACCTGATGAAAAAATACGACGACGTCGTCCGCACCCAGCTTGAGCAGGGTCACAGTTTCCACGGTTTGACGTCTACGATTCAAATCGGTTTAATTCAGTCTATGGAACAGGCGATCCACCAAAGGATAGCAGAAGAAGTGTCTAGGGCGACTTTTTTCTCTCTAATGGTGGGCGAGATGAATTCCGACATACAATTCAAACGCATATCTGTTTCTATAAGGTACGTAACCAATGGGGTGCCCGTAGAAAGATTCATCGGACTCTTCGAAGTCAACCACGGAGCAAAAGCGGAAGAGGTAGCCGCCATATTGGACACGGCTCTCGACAGATTCAATTACAAAGAAAAGATGATCACCCAGAGCTACGACGGTCGGGTGGTGAAAGCAACAGAGCTGTACAGTCTGCAACAAAACGTGAAAAGTCGGCAACATCCCCACTGCCAAGCTCAGCTGGTGCACTACTACGCGTTGGACTTCGGGGTAGTCCTGTCGCAAGCTCTGAGCTCTGTCCAAGAATGCAAACTGTTCTTTTCCGTGATAGCGCTGTTCTGCAAATTTTTCCAAGACCTGAACTTTCAACCGGACAAGAAGCTATTCGAATCCATCCCGACGTGTGTTGCGAACTTAAAAACCCAATATGAACCGTTGCTGAGGCTCCTGGAATACATCACTACGGACGAACAGTATGAAAACGCCCTAACCCGCGTCGCTGCAGCCGTCAACTTAATAAATCACATGAAAAACTTCAGGTTCCTGATCTTCGTCACGATGTTCGCCAAATTCTTCTCGCTGATCGGAGAATTTATCAACCGCATCCAAGGGAGAATCCTAAACGCCAAGGAGTGTCGCAGAGAGGTCAACTCTTTGATAAAAAATTTAAAGATATACAAAGTTAATTCGGATTTTAATTATTTAATCCGAAATGCCGTTCAAGCTCCCAGTGCAGATATAAGCGCGTCCACTATAGCCAACATGTTCGCGTTAAACGTGCAAATTCTGGACAACCTCATCCACGAAATAGAAGGAAGGTTTCTGGACATAGAACTGGGTGACTTCTTCGTACTGGTGGGCGTGGAAAATTTCGCCTTGGACGCAGCACAAACCAAACCTTTAGATAGCGCTCTACTCCTAAGCATAAGGGAGAACTACCCCAAATTTTTCGACACCACTAAGTTGAGAAGCGACCTGGATTTGCTCTACGGCGACCCCTCTATAGGCGGCTTTGGAGAGCGCAACATAAACCAGATTAAGGACATCTTAAAGTTCGTCCACGACAACGACATAAGAGATAACGTTCCGGAGCTGTACAAGCTTCTTGAACTAGTTGTGACCGTCCCTTCGTACGCTGAACCGTTAGAAGGGATGTTGTGCGTTCTGAACCGGATCAATTCTTACTGCGGTTCGCAGAAAAAAGAAGAACCCAGGAGCGGACTGGCCGTGCTGGCTATAGAAAGGGACCTACTGCTCGAGATGGGGAAGAATACTCAGTGGTATTCGCAAGTAATTGACCATTTTGCCAAGTTACCGACTACGAGTAGCATAGAACTTCTGTATAAAAACACAAGCGATGAACATTCCATACCAAAACCGAAAGCTGAAATGATTTGGGAACCAGAGTTAGAGATCAAAAGTGAACCCGACACGTTTTGAAAATGTAAATAGGACAGTAAATATATTTTTTCCCAAAAAAAAACAAATTTTTTTAATACATCATTTTAATATAAGAAAGGATATAACTGGGGTGCATTTAATAAAAATATTATTGTTCTCAATAAAAATATAAAAAAAAAACACATCAAACTCTTCTTATTTGGCATTTCTCATTTTAAGGGGTTGATTTTATAAATTTGTTTTGCTTAACAGTCTTCATAATTACTACTCAGTTATCATTGAAACAATAAATTATTAACAAAGTACTTTCTGTTTCCGTTATCGAAACTTTAATTAGGCTTTTTTTCGCGAGTGAATATTGGTGAATACGTCTGACTTGTAGTTACTGTTTCTATCTCTTTTCATCTTTTTTCTAACCTTGTCTAACCTGAACAGATCGCGAAAATGTATATATTCACTATTCAGTGGTGCAACCTGTCATATTGTAATATGTATTTTGACGACTTTGACATATGGGTTCTAACTTCTAACCAGTAACCATAATTTGTCATCCTTTATTGCTTGTGTTGTGGGAATTGGTGTTATCTCACTAAATAATAATGTATTTGCTTCGAATAAAACTGAAGGAATATATCAATGCTTTCATTGGAATATTTTTAAGTGGCAAATTTAAAAAGCGTGAAAAGTATGTTAAACTTTTTATAAAAAAAAATTAAACTAGAAAGAGGTCGGTTTTTTATGTAATTCATACGAAAAAGACCTGAATTACAAATGATTCCACCAATATTATCCCTGGCCTAGGTCACAAAAAAAAAAGAGGATAATCCTGAAGCAAAGTGGATCGCAAATATATCCCATATAAAAAATTAATCTTACCATTAAGTAAAATATTTGCTGTTTCAACGTCTACGTTTACTAAAACATCTGTGCCTCTAAAATTTAAATTTAAACTGACCACTTCCACAGCCGTATCAGAATCCATCATTTTGCTGAACGATTTTTATCCTCATTCAAACAAAATGTCAAAAAGAAAAAGGTTAAGTTACCGGCTGACAATACTAGTTGAATATACCAACAGAATATTCAGCTGAAGGGTGAAGAGTTCAGTCATTTGAACTAAACTTGTGACGTCAAATAGTAGTTTAAATGACTGACTCTTCTCGCAAAAACGTAATATTCACTCATACTACACATACTACAACATACGACTTCACTCGCGAAAAAAAGCCTATTATAAAACTCACTTAAAAGTCAAATGTATTTTGTTTTTATTTGTCAAACGTCAATACATTTCAAAATTAAAAAATGTATGTCCTCTTAAATTTATTTCTCATGGTAAAAAAGAATCACGTATTGTTTAGAATATTATTTCACTTTCTCGTGGCACTGTAAATTTTTAAAGAATCTTTAATGCATGATAGTAATTACTCTAAATGAGCGAAAACGAACAGGTACGTATTTGAATAAATAGCAAATTATCGAAAATTGTACATCATATACTTAACTGTGCCAAAAAATGGTGTAATATCTACTAAATTAACCAAAATAAGAGAGATTGTTCATTTGAACATTTACCCTAAAATGTGTTACAATGAAGTTAAACGGAAAACACCCCCACCAATGGCCTAAACCTAGGGCTTAAAATTTCTGGAAAAATTGAGTTTTGGAAAAACTGTTTTCTTCGCAGAAAAATTGGAAAAAATTGAACTTGTTGATATCTAGTATGCACAAGGTTCTAGTCACTACACTCACAGATATGAGAAATATTTTATACAGAATTAACCTTTAATAAGGAGGTTATCGGACCAGACCAGACCTCAAAGTTTGTTACACTGTTTTCGTGATACCCTGTATACTTCAACGTTTTCAAATAGCGGCAAGAGGGGTTACAAACTTTCTTAACGAAGCGGAAAATAATTACTTTTGTACTAAACAAGTATACTGTAAATTAAGGTGTAGAATTTCAACGGCAACTTCTAATAACAATTTAGCCTTATCGCATGAAAATCACAAAGTATCGCCCTTGCTTCGAGAATCCCCCTTCAAATTATCCTTCCTAGTAAGTTATCGCGTTTAAAAAGGCCGAACTCCAATTTATTCAATTCGGGATTCTTCACAAATAGAGAGACAATAAGATCTCATCCCGAATAAGTGTGAAAACGCGTGCAAAACGGGGAAACTTTTTCAAAGAACCCTTCCCGGAAAGTTTACAGTCTATCCTTTAGGAATAACTTCCTAACTAACGTCATTGAAAACTTCGGGGAGGGACATTCAGGAAAAGGTGTTCCGTTGAATATTTGATAATATCGGAAGGGTATCATTGTCCTCCCTCGGAATTAATAAGGGTTGACACAGAAAAACTTACCCTAAAGGGTCTGAGATTTGGTCTTCCAAATGTTTCAGTAATTCGGAATGTTAAGGCACCCCAGTATTATTAGATGCGCTTCTGAAATTGTAACACTGTAATGATTACATTAGGTAACAATGATTAAAGTAATAAAAAAAGCCATGCTAATTTTAGACCCACAAATATTTATAATTAGATATATCTAGGTCCCAATATTCTTAAATACCTAATAAAAGTGATGAGTACGGTGGTACGGGGTGGCCGAGAAATAAATGCCAAAATTATAACCATGCCGATGTAGATATTTAAATCAAAAACGGCAACTCTTATCTAATATTTTTCTTGTTTCCTCACATTTTTGGTCCGGTATTCTGAATCCTTCTAACCTAAAAAATAAAAATACATATTAGTATTAATCGGTCAATCAATTTTTTGTGAATCTATTTGCTTATTATTAATTAAATAAAAGTGACGGATAACAAGCATTTTATAAAATTATATTGTCTTCAATCAATATTATTGGACACAATTTGTTTTTGATGAGTGACTAACATTTTGACATTTGTATTTGAGACATTCTGTTTTCTGTTACAAATCGTAATAAGTAATTGAATAATGAACAGGAACTTATTTTTAGTTATCGCGAAACGACCTAAAAGAGAGAATAAGGAAGGAAATGACGGAAATAAAGTAAGCTCCGACTGTAGTAACTGATTTACACACACGTAGAGTGCAGCACCTGTGTAAAAGTTATTGGTCGTAAACACGACCATTACTCCGGAGGATCGGACTTGGTACGGTATTATTCTTATACAGACCTTGTTATTTCATCGTGCGTTCCACTATTTGCCAAATTACTCTACTTTATTAGTCGGATAAAGGAAATGTTTTTCCTTTAGTACAACGAAACGGGTACAAATAACAAAATAAATTTTAATGTAGTTAGTTTTTATACGGAAAAAATAAGCAAAAAATGCACTTGGTCCCAACAGTTATTTTTTTATTCTGCATAACGATTTTTAACTCTGCGTTTTACTAACCAGGCCTGTTGAATTATAGGATATCCCTTTGCAACAACATCATTTTCTCTGGACAAAAAGTAGGCTCTAACCGTTTTAACCCTTTCTTGATTTCGAATACATGCTTTTTCATAATATCACACAAAACTACACTGTATCGTCACTAAAGACGGAAATAATTAATATTATAAGGTAGGCACTTACACTCTACAAAAGCACTTCAAAAATTAAAATAAATATGTAACAAATAAAGCGGTGATTTTTCAGAGGCTGTTCGAAATTTTAACTGAACTCCGGAGACTAAACCTCCGTTGCTCTTCGTAAGCGTTCGGAACAGGATCGAATTCTGCTGAAATTTAATATGTCTAGCACCGATAAACTTCTGAAGTGGCCGAATAAGAAAAAAGTGTATTTTGTTAATTTTATAACTTTTTATTATTATCTACTTTACGTAGTGACAGTAGTATAATTCAGCTAAACCAGGTAGTTGTTTGTAAAAACTTGAAATGCATTAAAAAAATTTTTCAGATCAATCAGATTACTATTTTTATTTTTTTTTATTACATACATATATACACTTTCTAAAACGGCAAAAATAATTAATTTTAAAACATATACAGGGTGTAACTAAATAAGTGTAAAACATTTAAGGGGGTGATTCCTCATCGAAAAAAAGATAGGATCTTTCATATAAAGAAACTTCATTGGAGCATCCCTTGTTAAGATACAGCCCCTTAAAAGGGGTACATAAAATTTGTTTAACAATTTTTTTCACAAGCACTAAACAAGTTACAATATTGAAATTAACCTGACATTTTCTACTACCAAAAAGACACTTAGCCAGTAATTTATTTGGTTTACCCCATGGTAGTAAGGGGTGGAAAACGCAACCCCTAAAATTTATTTCCAACGTAATTTTTTGTCTTATTATTTTTTTACCATTTAAAAAATTATTTCCGATAGCCTGTTTCATTCTAAAAAAAAATGTCTCTTGAATTTTTTGCCCAAATTAAACCAGTTCGCAGTAAAAAATTATTTTACGAACAACTACAGAGATACATCGTCATAAATGCGGACTGGATTTACTGTTATTTTGTAGTTACTACCTGCATTAAATGATTAAAGGGGAATAATCAAAACTAATTTAATAATAACAAAACATACAACATGTAGAAATCATAGTAAATGTTCAATATGTCTACCTTCAGACATTACGCATGCGTCTAGACGTCGGCGCATTGAGCCACGTATTCGCTCAAATATTCCTGGAGTCTCTCTAATTACCCTGCACGCATCGATAATGCGGTTTCTTAAGTCCTCTACATCGCGAACAGGAGTACGATAAACCAAATGCTGCAAATGGCCCCAAGTAGACAAATCCAGAGGATTGAGATCCGGGGATCGAGCGGGCCAATTCTGTGGTCCTCCTCGACCTATCCACTGATTTGCATATGTTTCAGTTAAATGCTGACGTGCTACTTGACTAAAATGGGCGGGAGCCCCATCATGCATAAAAACCATATCCCTTCTGACGCCCAAAGGAACTTCCTCCAGCAGTACGGGGGGATGCACTTTTCTTAAAAATTGAACGTATGCCTCACCATTTAATCGAGGAGGTAGAAAATGAGGCCCAATTAAATAATCCCCAATAACTCCGACCCACACCTTAAGAGAAAACTGTTCTTGATGGTTAGTTTCGACAATAGCGTGATGGTTTTCATCAGCCCATATGTGGTAATTATGAAAATTAATAATCTTGTCCCGAGAAAAACTACATTCGTCT